GTAGTGGTAGTGGTAGTGGTAGTGGTAGTGGTAGTGGTAGTGGTAGTGGTCGTGGTGGTGGTGGTGGTGGTAGTGGTCGTCGTCGTCGTTGTCGTCGTCGTCGTCGTCGTAGTAGTAGTAGTAGTCGTAGTCGTAGTCGTAGTCGTAGATAGTAGTACTAGATAGTAGTAGTGATAATAGAAAAATTGACCTGGTTGTGTGGGCTCGGATTTACTGGGGGGGATTTCTAGTGCCCAACTAAGTGATTCAGGGGGCAATCGGCCACCAATACTACTTTTCTTGGGCAATTTTCCGAGGCATTTTGGGCACGGATTAACTAGGGGAGGTTTATATTCTTCCCAGGTCCCATGTTTGCATTACATCCTATCTAATTGGTTTTGACATCTCTTCTAATCAGTTCGGTTAGGCTGCAGGATCTTGGGATTTCGATGTCTCTTTGAAGTGAAGATTGGAGAAAAGATGTATCGGGGTTGTGAGGGCTACAGTGGGCACCCAGGCCCAAGTTTACATCTTCCTGTTTTGACTGTGGTGCGAGCTCTGCCACAGATAAAGGAAGTGCCTTCGTGCGGGGGTTGTCAGCCTCAGAAGCGCATCCAAATCTCTCGGTTAAGGGATTATTTTACAATATTTTACATATAATATATGCTATATTATAGGGGTTTATGGTCGTCAGTGAAGAAGGACGAAAACTTTGCTGGTCGCAAGGCCCAGGTGTCATTTCAAGACAGTCACTTACACCACAGATGCAGGACTTCGTCGGTAGTCCACCGCATCGTCGGGAAAGGGCGTCCTGCGGCCCGCCGTCGTTTCACTCCCCACTCCTAGCCGTGAGCGACGTCTCGTCGAATGACGAGACGGTCGGGATCGGCCGGGTTTGGGATGGTTTCGAAAAAGCAGTTTCCCATTAAAAGCAACCAGCGGCAGTGAGTCAAACATTTGTCACCTCGAATGGTGGAATGTGGGTTCATCGGGGGCCTGATATTTTGACTCATACGCATACATCCCGCATGAGTAAGTCTTCCATGTTGGGGGTAAACCGAGTATGCAGATATTCTGTTTGGTTGTTGCATGAGGGGCACCGGTTCTTGGCGCACAGGGTCAACAGGGACAACGCCGCTTGAGGCAGTGAAAGTGATTAAGTAAATCTGAACAGTGGTTTGCAAGAACTCTTAGGTGATGCAAGAACTCTTAGAACTTGGTATAACTTGAAATCTCTTGAACTTGGCGTCCGTTCCTCAAACATAGGAACTGACACCCCCGTTCCTCACTGCATATATCGTCTCTTATATAGATGGATTGAACATCGAATTCAAGGCAATTCCACTGGCCCTTTCCACGAACAATTAGAGTCCACCCTTGTACTCGCCTCTGTAGAGTGCACCTTCTTTTCTTGAGCAAACCTACTGAACATGTTTTCTTTGTTCCAGTTGTGGGCTATTACCTGTTTTGCTTCAATTTTGGGGTAGTAAAACCGTGGATACATCCACCGCCAGAAGACCAATCTCCCATCGACATCGGGTCCATTGAACCCTTGGTATCGTGGAGTGTGGTCCAACATTTCATAATCTTGACATCCTGGCAAAGAGACTACAAACAGTGTTAGTAAACACACCTTAACTCCTATAGCGCAAGAACCCCTTTTTAAAGGTACTTACTTATTTAAAGATATTTCAGTGTGTCCACTCTGTATCACTCTGTTGTGGGGAAAACCATTGAACCTCTCCCTCCAACAATGAGTGGAGGGCTGTCCATTCGGGCGCGGCGGGTGGCGAGAGATGGCACCGAAATCGACGGGTGCAACGGAGAATTTCGGCAAAAAAGGCGGCGCCGAGGAGAGGCGAACGGCTCGCTTGTTGGGGCCAAAGGAGATGAAAGCAACATCAAAGCCTGTGGGTTCCAGGGCAACATATATATATATATATATGCATGTAGGATCATGCATGTGGCAACATAACATAGAATGACATGCAATTACCATCAATTACCCATGTTGGACACAAAACCAGGGCCACTTCTATGACTCACAGGATCGCACAGGAGAGCGCAAGGTTTGAGGACTGGCAACAGAGCTGGGTGTTTCTATCAGTTTGGATGCTGTAAGCTAGTTGGAAAGCAGCACAAAACCACAGGTTCGGTTCAGTTGATCTTTTGAACGTCGACAGAGCTAGCCATCCTTGCCTTCTCACCGAACAGTGCAGCCCTGGACCCCATTCTTGAGGCATTTCTAGCCAACAATCACATGCCCCAAGTGTCTCACGGAACTCAACTTCTGCTCCCAGTGCTGATCTGGCATCTGCAGACCCTACTGACCCAGTTACTACCTCGTCGGCCTCGTCGGAGACGACCGCACCGCCGTCACTGGGCCCTGAAGACGCTAGGAATCCTGTGGGTGACTTCCAGCAGAGGGTCTACGAGGCCGAAGTTCGATCCGAAGGGGGCCGGGGCGAGAGGAGGGACCCCCCCAGGTGGACGGACCTGGGACAAAAGCGAGAGAGGAGGGACTGAGAAACACGTGTTCTTTTGGGGGTCAATTTGATGAAAGATCGGGATGGACTACATATAAAACACCTCCAAAAGATCCCCAAACATACTATAATCTTCAAAGGAACATTTCAATCGTGCACAAACTCGGCCGTTCAAGAAGGACCACGCTGCCCAAACCGCCTGAAGTCGATGAGGGCTGCGGGCGCATCCGAACCCCTCAACTCTCAGGTGGGCTTGGTTTGCTTAGCTGTGGGCATCGTCATCAATTTCCTGCAGCTGGGCCGACAATCGTTGGAAGGTGACGCTGTTTTGTGGAAACAACTGGTGGAACCTTGTAGCTGGCTCACATGACGATTTGTGAGGCTTGGA